GTTTCTTACCCAGTACTTTCCCAGGTAAACCTCTGAAGGCCTGACTGCTACACCCCTAATATGTTTTTCCACCGTGTCGTGGATCAGCGAATAACAACGCTGAAATGAAAGATGAAAGCACCTTCTCAGAGGTAGTTGTACCTGCCGTACTAAACAGACTACCTGAGGCCTTTCGACTGACCATCACATGGGTAACAGATTTCTTAAAGTGGACCCCGTTTTATCTTCACGATTGTATTTTGTTACTCTAGAATGTCACTACTTGAATTAGGGAATGTAGACGTTAACCTTGATTGACATGTAATTCGTTCGGATTGATTGACATTAATGTGATGTAAGAAGAGAATTGTAACTAGAGTGTGTTGTTGTGTTGAGTGTTCAAGAGGAAAGATTATGTATTGTGTGTGGATTGTACTGAATCCTAAAATCTATCAAATCTAAGGTTTTATCGTAGTGTGTTAAAGACAGTAAACAGTCCCCTGAACTGTGAAGTGTGAGAATTATTACACAGATATGTGTTTGAATTATCAACACATATCTTTTTCTACTTTTGTACTTCTTCGAGTTATTACTAAATTTATGTTTCAACTCATTAACTTTATTGCAAGTCTTGCTTACTTCTTATGTATCAATAGTATTAGATAATTTCTACATTCATTTAACCTTCTAGTTTTCACCAATTTTCAAAAAGATAGTCTCCCTTGTTAAATTTTCAGAATAATGGCCAATCCACACACCAATCCGAATCACAAACACCACAGCAACCCATTACGACAGAATCAGCCAAATCTCATTGTGACACACACTCTTTCTACTTCATCCTAATCATCAATGTTAAGTTAATGTCCATTCAAAAAATAATCAATCTCACAAACTTCACAGACAACCACTTTGTCAGTTTAAGACAAACCCATAAATCACTAAACCCCAGGATGGTACAACCAATCACTTAAATGTACCAGACATCGATCTAAAAACAAATGCCTTGCTCTTCCCAATTTTCCTCATTATTTGTGTCATAAAAACAAAAACCTTGTCCATTATAAGTTCTCTTTCCACTTCAACAATTCTGAAACAAACGGAAACCTCCCGTCTTTTGAATTAAGGAATTGGTCAAATTACAACTTAAAGATCGTTTCTACTTTAGCTTTAACCAACAGTACTTAAAATTCCTCAACCCTTAACAAGTACTTCTAACAAAAGCTTCTGCTATCTGCAGTCATTTGTGGTAAGGACCATCAAGCAGAGAGGAGCACCGCACTCATCTGTGCCACCACACTGAAACCTTTCATTTCTCCTCAATGGATCCAATACAACTGGCATGGCAACTTTTGCATGCATAACATCAATAGCTGCATATAACACATTTTTCTGCCACCATCTGCTTGTGTTTTGGATGGTGTTCTGGTTTTTTTAATCAACGAATCATAAACATTTCCCACCTTAGCTACAAAAATGCCTTTGAGCATCATTAAAGTAAAGCCATTTCTTCGGATGAGAGTTCAGAAAATTAACCAGTCATCTATTCCCGAGCCCCTTTTGGCCAACAATGGCATGAATGAGCTTGTTGCCACAACATTACAACCTAGGCATAGGATTACATCAACCAGAAGAGACTTAAGCCTCCCAAAACTCTCTTGAAGACTATCGAACAGTTAAAAGGCAAGATGACATAGTTATTACAAAACCAGATAAGGGCTCTGGAGTGGTTATAATGATTGGACAAATCTGAATACCTGGCCACTGCTAAACAACCACAACCAAGTATACAGCTTACGCCTTCATTGCACAATCAGTACACAATAACTAACCATTAAAAAAGGTTGTTAATCTAAAAAACACAACACCTGATCTATTTTAATCATACAAGTGAAGTCATGTATAAAAAACACAGCATTCCAGAATTTTGCTGCAAAATTGATATCCAACCAAATTTATACGACGGTTTGATCTAATTTATCAGCCTCATGGGTCGCAGATAAAAAGTGGTTTCTGCCAGAAATTAACATGTAGTGCTGGGGACAAGCTGCAATCAACACTTAGAATCCTAGTTATTAATACTTAACTACTTCAAGTACATTACATTTATTCTACCTTAGACAGTATTCCTTACAAATTATAAATGCTAAAGAAAACCAGTTCTGACAGCATCAAATGTATGCAGTTGTATAGTTTTCACAAGACCAGTATCAGCTGACAAGTGTGATGAGATTATTTCAGCATGTTACTGACTACAACTCAACGAGTTCTTAGTAAGTATTCAACGGGCCATTGGGGCTTTAAAAATTAGACAATTTCATGAACCAGTGAAATATGTATGTATGTGAAAACAAAATTATCGCAATAGGAATTTTGAGGCTTTTACAATATTCCAGGGCTTTACAACCCACATGCATCACGGGTTAATTCCACTGAGACAACCCAAATGTTTTCTTTTTTCACTCTCCTCAAACACAGCACCCAAATTTCCTCAAAAATTTGTATAACCCTTTTTAATACTGGCAAGTAAACCTTTGTGTTATATCCCATACTTTGCACTTGCAGTTTCTGTTCATTTTTACCACACAATTGGTCAGACATTGAAAAGCTTGTGCTGTGTTTGACTGTTTGTCTCAGTCTACTTTAAATACATGAATCCACAGCACATTACAATTTGTGATACACATGTACATTACTAAAAATTGAAATTTAAATTAACTATACCCTTTACAGAAACCTTTGTTGTGACAAAGGATAATTGGGAACAATACCCTGATCTCAAAAAATAAACAAGTCTGCTGATGCAGTTACAAGAGATAAGGAAAAGATCAATCCCTGCTTTTGATTTGTCAAATATGTCATAACAGCAACTACTGTTACGTTAAACTAAACAAACTGCCGAAGTTATTCCATATTTTTTACAGTTGCGCATGTGTCAGAATGCAAGAATTCATTCCACCTTGCTTGCAATTCATTCAACAGGACTTTCTTTTGTGTAGCAAAAAGGCTTGCAAACTCTTTCAGTTGCCTTTAAGAGTCATCAGGTTTTCTTTCGTCCTCGATTGAAAAAGCAGTTTCTAATTATTCATTAATGACCTTAACCAACTTGTTTAGATGAACTCTTTTAGTTTATCCCCTAGGTTTCAACAAATTCTCAACTGCATCTCTTTCCAACACTTTGTCAATTACATTTTGTAGCAGTTTGTCCGTTATTTGCAAAAGTAAAAGAAGTTTAAAGAAGAGCATTTCTTAAACGGATGTCAAGAAGAGGGTTGCAAATGCATCTAAAGTTGTCTTTTGAATGGCAGAGGCTTTAAAACTCCTCTAGGATGCATCTCATTGGTTCTTCATCATAAAAGTTGATTTCGTACTTTTGTCCCATCCGTTTTCTTGTGAATGTTACACCATACACAGGCATACACTGTTGAGTAGTAAGCCCAAGAACAAGGGAAGAAATTTCATCCGCACCTAGAAAAAATTTAAGTTTCACTTCTTCTGATCTTCATACATCAAGTGAATTTGAACCATTGACTGATTACCCTTAACAAAAAATGGGATGAATGATGCACAATGATCATTTTACTTTGGCAACGTGACACTTTCATTTAGCTGCAAAAGTGTAAATGACAACAACATGAAGTTTGATTGTCCTTTACATAGGAAGTTTAGTCGCGTGTTTGGCTCCCTTGAAATACAGTTAAAATTTGACCCGTGTCAAAAATTTCGCATTTTTTCTCCTTTTGAAATAACTCTCTTGAGAAATAAACCACACAGATCTTTAGAAGATACATTGAATAGTAAAATATGTAAATAACACCATGATTTGTGGCATATTTCAGCGTAAACAAATTGATGAAAGTCTCCTGGCCGGCCTTTGATCGCAGTCATGAAGGGTGACCACCATTGTTGACAAAACTTGAATGGACCGGGGTGGACAATAGTCAAATTCCACAGCGCTTATTGGCTAAAAAACAATGAGAATCAAACGAAACAATGGAGCTAAAAGACCAGGGGAGACCTGGATGGTAGTTTCTTTGCCTGAACGAGTGTCTATCATAAGATATCACTGTTTTCGCAAATTAAAAGCAGTTTTCGAAACGTTTTTTGATTATTACCCGGTTTAAACTATATCTAGAGTATTCTATAGGTTATAAAGATTATTTTGAGCGGAAAATCAGTGGGATTTATTGTGATTTCATGCGCCGGAGAGCGAATTATGAAAATGTGAGTACAGCAGTGTCGCACAGCAAGGATCAAGTTCACAGCAATCCTGAGAGACCATCAACCTCAACTGGCCTATTGAATGCAGATAAAATGGAAGGTAAGCAATCACCTCTTTGCTTTAATCTGAAACATTTACTGTATGCAATATTTTTTATTGTGCATCAGCATTCGATTTCATTTCAATTCAATGTTTTCAAACAAACTTTCAAGGATAATGCATGCAAATAATTTCCATTTTCATCACCTGATAACTTGAATTTTCAAGGAATACTCACTCAGTAACTGCTTATCTCAGTATCTGTTTGGCTTTGGCTATATTAGGCCCTGAATTTGAAAGAATATTCAATTTTTGTCTTGTCAGAATTGTTGAACAAGGGCATCTTTGTGGGACCTTTTTGTGGGAACAATGGTTTGGATGTGGCAGCATTGCAGAGCGAGGACCTCAAACCGTTGAAAAGGGAACATTTAACTGTTGGTCTTGTTCTAGAACTCTGGAAAAAAAAGACTCTGTCAAAGAAATGCAACGGTGGATCAGTGCGTTGACTCCAGTGGAGCTACAAAAATATCAGAGTGGTCTAACATCTCAAAATCTAAACAAGGCATGCAATGATTTACTGAAGAAATCCCAAAAACTGGGTAAAAATAAAAAGAAAGAAGAGCTTGAATTACTGAGGCAAAGTGTATTTTATTTACCTGGTTGGAATGCACGAATGGCAAGAGAGCAATTAACACCGAAGTGAAAAGCAATTGCTGAGCTCAAGGATGAAAACAGGGGATTAAAAAGATCAGTCAGCAAAATGCTTAGCTTCAATGAAAGATTAATGGATGAGCAGGATGCTTTAATCACTGACCAAGCAGCATTGGAGGAAGACTATTTTTCAACTGTTGAACACATGAGAATGTTGACAAACAATATTGCAGGTGTTGCTTCAAAACTTAAACGTGAAAGGGATGTCCTCGAGAAGGATATGAAAGTGTTACAAGAGCAATTTAATGAACAGTCTGAAAAGCTCAATATGATTCAAGAGAAACTGGCATCCTATAAACCTAGGAATGTTAACAAGAGGCAGAAAAGGGCAGAGTCAAATATAACCAATTTGAAAACCAAAATTTTCGAAATCAAAAAGGAAAAGAACACTTTGCCTGGTCAGCTGATTGACCAGGCCAAAGAACTTAATGAAAGCAACCAGAAATTTGAGCAAGCAGAAAATGAAGTTGTCGTTCAGCTGAAGCATCAAAAAACAGGATTACAAAAGAAGTTGTGGCTTGTTCAGAATTCTAAGGGTAGGCAAGCTAAAGAACTTGACTTATTAAAGGAACACAATGCTGCCATGATCTTAAAGCTAGAATCAAGTGCTGAGGGGCTTAAAGAGAAAAATAAAGAATTGGAACAGCTAACTTGTTTGCTTGAGGACAAAACCATTGCCACATTTGAAAATGGCAAATATGTAGATGAGGTGCGGGAAGTTATCATGGACTTTCTTGCTATGAATGTCTCTATGAGCAAAGTCAATGAAGTGATACGTACAGTTTTACAGAAATTAGCTGGAAAGAGCACATCAAGGCTTCCCAGCAAGGCAGTCCACTCACGTCTTCTTGTTGAGGCTAAACACCTTGCAGATGTCCAGCTTGGAAGAGCAACGTTAGAAGAGGCTGACCCATCTCAGGTAATTGGAAATACCCTTCATGGAGATGGTACAACCAAATATCATCGACATTACCAAGATTTTGAAGTTTAAAACCACTCCACCTTGCCAAACATATTCAATGGGCCTTCTTGAGTTGGGGAGGTCAGACACAGAGGCAATCATGGATGCCTTTAAGCATCGAGTGAGTAGAAGAAATTGCGCAGGTATTAAGTAGTGGTGATGAGAAGGCATCAGTGGAAAATAAAGTTGCTGAATCAGTGACATCAATTAAGAGCACCATGTCTGATCAAGGGCCAACAAATGCCGCTTTCAATGAACAATTGACTGACTTGCGAAAGGAGTTTCTTCCAAAGGTGGTGGAGAAATGGCAAGACCTGACAGAAAATTTTAAAAAATCTCTAGCGGGGAACTTTTATTGCAAACTTCACTTGCTTCTTAATCTAGGCAAAGAAGCAAACAAAACTTTAAAGTTGTTTGAACATGCCGCAACAGAAGGCAGAAATCCCTTGGCATTTCTTTCATCATATGAATCTGGCTCCTTTAGGCTAACAAGAACAGCTTGTGAAGCATTTTATACCAGAGGATGTCAGACTGCTGGAGTTTCAGAGTACTTTGATGTACATCTCTCTGAGAATGGCTTGGAAAGCAAACTTGTTGAGTTTATTGGAAATCACTTCAACAGTACTTTCTTACAACTCCGCTGCTGTTTTTTGCCATAGAAGCCACATTCACGATTTTCTTTTGAAATGGCCAACACCAAATCGCCTTCTTCAGGTTGTGTCTAAGGACATTGTGGAGCCTGTATACCTCACAGGAATTAGAGCCCTTGGTATTCTTGATAAAATTGTCACTGGTCCCTTCTTTCGATTGACAGAGAATGCAAAATCTGTCCTTGACCTTAATCCACATTTGCAGCAAATGCAAAAGTGCTTTGAACAGTGGAGCCAGGATGCATCTCCACTTCTGGAAGGAGAAACACTATTCAACGAAGAAGTTGTGCCCATCCACCGCAATGAAATGTACGAAAGTCTCTTCAAAGAACAAAGTGAACAACTGGAGACATTCACACAAAAGGCCCTTGAAATCATTTTTAATTCCTGGATTATCTTGTTTGAAAGGAAGGCTCAAGATCAGCTTCCTGGGGGAAAGTATGCTACTCCTTCCCCTGAACTATTAGCCCAGGCAGCTAATGTTCCTGCAACCAACATGGCATCTGAGAGAGATTTTGGAGTGTTTGACTTGCTGTTGCATTTGAAGCCTGCAGCAAGGCTGATTTCCCATGAAGCTCTTGTATTGTGGACAAACAATAAGACTACATCGAGGCTCAATTCTTTGTCCCCTGAAGATAAACAAATGTGCATGGCTGAAGCAAGAGCAAATACCAGTAAAATCATAGCGCGATACAAGGAAAGAAAAGAGAAAATTTTTCAGCAACGAAAAGAAAAGCTGGTAGAAAAACAGAGGGCAAAGGAGGAAGCTGAAAGGAAGCAGAGACAGCAAAGGCTTAACTTAGTTAGCAGCATCACTGAGTTAGGGGGTCCTTGGAAATCAGAAAAGCACATCTGGAAAGCGCATCATATTTTCTGTCGCGCAGATTACCAAATACTCGACGGAAGTCTTGGAACTTAACCAGTTTCAGGAAGCTGAGCCTGAAAATGAAGGTGGACTCACCTACCGGAGTTCAGATGAATGTGTCAAAAGCTTGTCAGAAGAAAAAGCTAAGCTGGTGAAGAAGCTGAGAAAAGCACGCCAAAAAGTTATGAGAAACAAGAGCAACGCAATGCTTCCCCAATTTCAAGACAACCCATAACTTCTTGTCGAAAAACGAGTCATGCACAATTGCATTGAAGATGGCTCTAAGCAAGCCAAATGGTTCAATGCAACTGTCTTGCGCCTTGCTGAGGATATTCCAGATGGGGCCAATGCAATCGATGCGGAGTACATCATCAAATACAACATTGACGAAGATGAAGATGAATGGACAATGCCATTACTTAAGGACTTAAAAAAGGGGGATTTGATTGTGCTTTAATATTATTGTTTCCATTAGAAAATTAAGGTTGCACAGGAATTTTGGTATCAAAAATAAGTTTTACCTCGATCTTTCATTTATTATTCAGTGTAGATATCATATTTAATGTTACATTTCCAGTTGTTCCAGGTTCAGAATCTGGTTGTTACCATAGAAACAAGCACCTGGAAATGTTTTTAACTTTTTTCTGTTAGTGTTATCTACCTTCAACAACAATTATGAATATACACTGCTTATTTATCCTGATGAGCTGCCTTAAGTAATTGCTTTACAGTGTGTTACATAACATTTCAAGTAATTTAGGTGGTTGCCATGGAAACGAGCCCTCTTAACTTCAATGATTCTTTGTTGATCGCAAGAAAAACTTGAAATTGCCAATTTCTTTGTTTACAGATGAAATATTCATAGTTTTGATCAATATTTTGTTAATTATTGTCATTTATTACCTGATGACATCATCAGGGTCGTCATGGTAACTTGATTGACACTTCAAATGATAGGCCTGTCAAAGTTCTATGTCATGGTGTCACTCAATATTCATATAATCCATACTTCCTCTTATATTATAATTTCCACATTTTTGTTAATAAAAATCATTTCTTTGCTTCTATGTGGCCGATTTCCTTCATTTAAAAAATAGGAGAATTCTTTTTAATTTCAAGCCTGAAAGCCACGAGTAAAAATTGACCCTAAACTCCCTACTTTACACAAGTCTGGAGATAAGTTTAACCTGGCTGCTATGTACCTGCCTAGGGTTCGTTCAATGTGGTATATTGTAGGCATGCTATTTAAATTACAGTGAGACCTACCCTTTGGGACACTTCTATTCAAGGGGTATCCAATCAGGGAACACACATTTGGTGGCAGATCCCAAAAAGACACCCCATAATCTTTGTACCTGTTACCTCTATTAAAGGAACACCTCTATTCAGAGGAAAGGGACACTTTTTCTGTGTCCCAAAACCAAGGTTTAACCTCTATTCAGCAGAGTCAAACCTTCACTAGCTGCAAAGAGCCTTGTTTAGTACTGATAAATACACTAACCAAAATGATGACAGCTTTCGCAACCTTTACTCTCTCACTTAAATTGATGTACTTCACTTGAGGGAATTCAGAACAAAATATCACAGCAAACTCAAGTGTGTCTCCTGAATATAAAGGTTACACTATAGCTCTTGACTGCTTAATCAGAAATGATTTTGGTAATTCCTTTGTTAACCATGGAGAGCTCAAGAAAAATTTTTATCACCAGCACAAAACTTTTCCATCAAAAATGGCTTGTATATTTCATTTATTACCCTAAGACACGAAACTGTATCGAATCAAGCTTGTGAAGTCTTTGCTGACTGCAGGAATTCCCATATCGAAAGTTGACAATCTGAGGCTGTTTCTTGAAAAATATGACTAGAATTTAGCTGTCCGCTACCTAAAGATAAAACCAGTTATCATAATAATGGAAAATTATAATCCTGAGTCAGTATTTCTGCTTGATAAATGGCACAGTGTGAAAATTTTCAATTCTATTCCATTTTTTTCACAGTTCATACATACATACGTGTACACGATCATTCGTATTGTTGGCCATCTCGTTTTGAGTTTACTACTGTCCTGGAAGACTAACACCCAAACTCCAAGAAAATTCCCAGATGTACATGCAATGTACCTCTTTTAAACATATGTATGCACAAACGGTAAAAAAAATGGAATAGAATTGATAATTTTCACACTGTACCATTTATCGAACAAAAATCACCAATACATGTACTTGAAAGGTGTGCGCACTGACAAAATCTGCTAAAACATGTACTTGAAAGGCGTGCGCTATTGTGCTAATAAACAACTTGCGTTTTTTGCTTTCATTATTTATGACTATAAACAAATTTAACAACACATTTGCTCGATAAGCAAAAAGTGGTAATTGTATTATTGGTAGATTAACTTACTTTTTCTGTTTTTGACACCAACTCTCTCCAGAAAGCTGCATGGTCAGTAATTTCTGTCATATTGAATTCCGTAGAAGGACCTCCATCATTATCAATCTAAATTGGAAAAGTTAGTTTAGTAGCCTTAAATGTAAGGAGCATCATTTGTCACCATTTTGGGAGATGTATCACTGACCTTCACTTGTTCTTCCAACTCAGCAAGTTTACTGAGAGCATTTTGAACATCATTTTCTTGTGATGATTCTTCCCAATCAACTTTAATCTATGAAAGGTTAAAATTTGCCTTATTTATGCCTTTTCTCCTTTTTATTGAAACTCAAAAAATCGCTACACTTTACCTCCTGATCTGCAGTCTTTTCTTTGTCTATCTTGCTGCGAGACCTTCTGGAAAATTAGGCTGTAAAATAGAAGAAACTTTTCGTGAAGGAAGGCGCGCAGGAAATGTGGAAAAACACACCTTGACCTTTTCAAGTCTGTCAGCTAGTTGTTTACTCCAACCAGTCTTCTAAACAGGTTCGAACCTGTTAAACGGGTTTTAGAATGGACAACAATGGAGATGATTGATGGACACTTTGACACACCGTTCTTGAGGTGGTACTTTCCTTGAGATTAGTGGGTGAAAAAGACATCCTTCACATCTACAAATTCTGTTAAAATGGATGAACGTGAAGAAGAAATTGTTCCTAGCACTACTTCTGAGGACGATGATGATGATACTCTAGACATAGGGGAAAACAAAGTCGAACCCCCCAAAAAGAGGAAGAGGAGGAAGGTGGGAGAGCTATCCGGCTGCCAAATGGCCCTAAAAAGATTGGAAAGAGAAAAAGGAGTATGGAAATATTTCCAACAGCAAAACCGTATTTAGTTTTTTTTATATTAGATAGTGACTTCCACTTCAAGTATTTCCTTGAAATTGTTTGTATAAAAATTACCCTGTAGTTCTGAATTATACTTGAAATGATTATAATGGTTTAGAGTGGGGACAAGTGGCTAATCCAGTTGCTAATAAGAGTGAGTACATCAGAGAGGGGAATGCGTTGAGAAAACCCTCAGAGGACTGAAGTACAAGAAACAGAAAAAAGAATTGAATGTTTTGCAAAGTTAACAAAGAGAATCAAAAGGAACTTGAAAAATGTACAACTTCAATTATTATTTGTGTAAGTTATGAATCTGATTTACAACTAAAATAAACAAGGTAAAATTGACTTTTCTACCAGCCATCAAAGGAAGTTATTGTCCCTTGAGCCCAATTCCCCCAGCAGTTCTTTCTATGATACTACATTTGGCTTATTTGGCCTAGATGGGTTTGTGCTGATGATGTAGGGTTGTGACCATTTCACCCTTTAGAGTTTTGAACAGGGTGTCTGTTTGGGCTGTAAATGTTGATGAAGAGCAGTCTATACATGTAGTTACCTTTTTGGTACCACCATTTTTTCCCCAAGTTTTTTTCCATGTCTCTGAGTTTAAAAGCTAACTGAATTATGTATACTAACTGAAATGAAACAGATTATAAAATAAGGTCTTTTGGCTTAAAAAGGGTATGGAAATGAACAATGTGTCCTACTACCCATACTCTCTTTCAGTGCAAACCCAGGGAGGTGATCTCACATTTTAATACCCTTTTACCACTTGTTGTAAGAGCAAAGTCAGTGAAGGTTTATGGTCTCTAACAAATGATTTTGCTGACCTCAACACAAGCTTCTAACTGTTATTGTTGACTACAAATAACATTATCTTAACAACCATTTTACTTGTTTTTTCCAAGGCATCCTATGGTGTATTTCATATCCACTACTACAAGGCTACTTTTAAGTTGAGAGGGTTTGATATCATTAACTAGATTTTTATACAGACTCAAAGTAACCTGGCACGGTGATTTCGAAAGGTGTAAAATACTAGATGCAACTCACAGTATGGCAAAAACTGATCACAGTGGCCAAGGAAAGGCAAAAACAGAAATGTCACCATTTTCCTGATTTTATAAATTTCCTTTGAAGCATATTTAGCCAGACGTGGTCCTTGTCAAAACATGCAAACTTGAACATTTATTTTCTGAACTTAGCTAATTTTTTTAAAACCATAATTTTGTTCCAAGGGGTTGTGTAGTTTTTGGAATTTTTAATTTTTTCCTCTTTGTTGGCAACAAAACACACTTGAATGAGGACTCAAACTAACTGCTGTCATGAAACGAGAATTCCAAAACACACAAAATAATTCCCCTTTCATTTGCCTAAGCTTCATTTCTTGGAAACTACGGTAAAGTTTAAATGAAACCACAGGAAGATAAGAACTTAAGCATATCAACATGTGCAAAATCAAGAGAGAATGATCTCTTGGCAAAATTTATTTAGCTTCTAGTACATAAGGAAATACATGGACTATGAGATTTGACCATGCCACTTAAATCATCCAACATAACTCTGCCAGGATAAGTTCACAATCAAGGATGAAAAATTAAAGCCCCATTTACACGGCAGACAATTTTTGGCGCGGCTTGGATGAAAGTGGTACGCGTACCAAAAAAATAGTACTGATTGCTCATTTACACGTTCTTTTTTCTACCGTGCTAAGCGATGTGAAATTATGATTTGGTACGGGTAAAAGGCTCAACATCTCGGCCAGCGTACTCGATTCTTGCCTAGTGCGCATGCTGC